CCCCAGGACCCTGGCACTTGCACCTGCTGGGTCGCCTGCCATACCTGGCGGTGTTTCTGGGCTCAGAGGTGAGAGCCGAGCAAATCACACTTGTGGTTCTTCCCCAACCAGTTGGCGAGGGGCCCGTCTCCCACTTCTTGTTTCGTGTTATATTTCATTTGACTGTGGTTCACAGTCCTCTGGGAATCCGCCCTCTCCTTGCTTTTCAAAACAGAGCCCCTGAAGTTGGCCTGTGGTCCATCTCATGGCCACTTGACCGAGTTTGGGGAGTGTGTGTGGCTGAGGTTCTCCTCGCCACCTCCCTGTGCTCTGCATGCTGCTCTTTGAAATAGTACGTGTTGTTTCTGTGGCTGATACTCAATATTCATGGGTCCTGGAATCGCGAACTCGCCCACTCACGAACACTTGTCTTTAAGTCCACAGTCCACACTCCCCGCACTTCCATGGTCATTTGAGGACATGCACCTGGCAGCGAGAAATGAGAGTGACCTGGTGTCTCCGGCGGAAGCAGAACGAGACGAAGCCGAGCTCACGCTGGAAACGAGTGTCCTTTTTGTGGTCTATCTAGTGCCACTTTTACTGCATTTTCATGCTTTTGGTTGGTGACTCCATGGTTTTACCTGCCCCCTGCGTGGTGCTGAAGATCCACCAAGGCCCCAAGCACGGGAGGCCGTGATGGACCTGCGGAGAAAACCATGAGCTAGGTGGGTTTCGTTTAGGCCTGAGGTCGGTGATGCTGGTGCAAGGGTTCCTTATGCATCTTCAGTGTCTTTGATGAGGCGATTTTAAATGGAAGCCACATGAAACAGGGCTCTGTGTTGACCCGTTGGTAAGAGCATTGTGACCAGAGGCTCCCAGGAGGCTGACCCTGCATTTCCCCAGGAGCCCTGGTTCTGTGTTTGCCTTATTCCCAGTTCTGGGCTGTGACCACGTGTGTGGTGAGAATGGACAGGACTCCTGTGTTCCCAGTTCTGGAGTGTGACCGTTTTGGGGTGTGAGCATGGACTGCACCATCTGAACTCATGTGTGGTGTGGGGCCACCCTTTGCTACCTTCCACGTGACCTTCGAGTGAAGATCCCTGGTGTGGATGCATCTTATGCACTCTCTCTTTCCTCCGGTGATGGCGGATACCAGGCAGCCAGTGACCCCACACATGATGGGCCTGGCATGGGGAGTGTACCCAGCGTGAGGAGTGCACACACCCCATTGCCCAGGCCTCAAGGCTCTGCCAGTGTTACCATTTGGGCACTGGTATGGCTGATGTTGCATGAATCTGACTCCCGTCAGGGTCAACCTCTTCACAAAGGGGTCTGCCTCCCCCTGTGAGTTACCTGCTCATTTATTCTGCTCAGTTTTCCAGCTTTTTCATATCAGTTCCAAAGCTTGCTGATGTGGCCTTAGTCCTACATCTTCACCTAAGGTCTGAGTTTGGAAGTCAGCTCTGTTGTTCTCCATATAATGATCCAATCACCCTTCATTCCTAGTGTTTGAAAGGTTAAAAAAAAAAACAGAAAGAGATGTCTACCAAGTACACTTTTTGTATTTTTTGAGATGATCATGTGGTTTTTCTGCCTTAGGCTCCTGGCGGAGCTGAGTCACACGGACCACATATTTCCTGAGGCACCTCCTACGCGGTCATGAGGTGCCCCTTGGGACACCTGCTGGTCAGAAGGTAGAAGTTAGAAGCATTTCACTTAAAACGTGAACATCTGTAATTGTGAAACATATGTGTGTACCTGTATGCACACATATCTGTACATGTGCATGCATCTCCACACACACACACACACACGTGTGCACACAGGTATCTGTGTACTTCGGATTTTCTGTTCTGTGCTGTCTGCAGGTGCTTTATTTTGGCAGTGGGGTCATCCCTACCCTGTGAACTCAGGTGGGAATTTCCCTTTTCTGTTTTCTGGAGCCACTTGTAGTAGGCAGGGAGATCTGAGCCACCGGAGAAGCCTGGGGGCAGGCCGGCTTGGGGCCTTGCAAAGAGGAGGGTGGACTTTTCAAAACACCCACTTTGATGCATTTTCTGGATGGCCTTTTAAGTACTTGCTCTGGGGGCCATGCACTGGAAGGCCACCTGGGCGAGGGGCCATGGTGAGCTGTGAGAAGTGTGAGTATAGCTCTGGGTGTGAGGACACCAGGACTGGGCTCTGCCAAGTAGGCTTGGGGCATAGAATCAGCCTGGCCGGGTGCAGTGGTTGGGGTGCTGGCTGGACACAGTGGGGGTTCTGGGGCCACTGGGGGCATGCACCTGAGGTCTTTAGCACTGGTGGTGAGGGCCCAGGAGTAGAAGGCCCGGGCGCTGGGGGGATACTAATTCTGCATTGGTGTCTGGCTAGAGAAGCTCAGGAGAGAGGAAAGGCATGCCTGCTGGACTGGAGTCCTTCTCTGCCCCTGAACCAAGGGAGGGAGACCACTCATCCCTGGGCTCCATGCTGGCATTACCTCCCCCGGGAAGCTCTCCTGGGTGCCCAGCTGGCATCTCTCATGACTTGGAGGTTTTGGTGTCCGGCCTTGCTCTTCTCAAAGGACATGTTGGCGTGTGGGAGGGTGAGGCTTATGGGGGCTGGAGGCCCTTGTGTGTAGGTCCTGCCAGGCATGGGCCATGGGTTAGCTCAGTACTGATGGAGTGGGGGGTTCCTGTCAGCCCCCAGAAGCCCAGGCCAGGTGGGTGTAGAGCCCACCACACCGAGGAGGGGCTGAGCTCAAGATGAGGCAGGGTCAGTGTGGGGAGCGCCTGCATGGCCCTGCTTCGCCACTGCACGCCTCCTGGGGCAAGTGCATGTGTGCACGTGTGTGCATTCCTGTGTTAGTGAATCTGTGAGGTTGTGCACATACGTGTACCTGGCCAGCTGCCTTGTGTGTGTGTGCCAGCAAGTGTACATATGAGAGTATAAGCACATGTCTGTGGGCATGCCTGAGTGACCTGCATGCACATGCACGTTTGTCCAGGAGAATGGGGCAGCATGTACCTGTGTGTGTTTGTGAATCTACTCTGTGTGTACATGTGCCCAAGTACATGTGCTAGTGTGTGCATTCTTGTTCACACAAGGACTTGCTTACACTGTTGACCTATACAGACATATGTGCATGCCTGCAGGTGAGTCAAGCACACTCAAACGTGGGTACACATGTGCTTGTGTACACTTTCATGTGTACGTGCACAAGGCCTGTGTGTGCACATGTGTGTGTACATGTGGCCTGTGCATGGCACATATGAGCATGTGTGTATGTGCCTGTTCACAAGTGACAGGGGGGCCCTGGAGGGCCCTTGGGGCGAGACCCCACAGGCATGGCCACCATCACCTTCACTTGGGCGGCGCCAACAGAGGCCCCCATGGGACCTGGTGTAAATACAGCAATCCCAACTTCAGATAAATACAAGATGCATCAAAAGATTTAAGGCACCTGTTGTGTATTAAAAGAATTATATCTTGTTTATGGTTCGGTATAAAATGCACAGCTGATTTATATAACGGCTGGCCCATCACAGAGGAAATCTCATTTCAATCATAAATGGCAGGGTTTGATTTAAGAATTCATTCTTTAATGGGTCTGCAATGTTCAAATTTAAACCCATTCAATTCATCAGCCAAATATTCAATATGGGGCACAGAGAACTCATTTAGGCAAACAGAGACTTTTAATATAAATTTTCCGGGAGATTTCTCCATCGATTCCGCAGTTTAGTGCAAAATGATTTGTGCGATACATTCTCGGGGATCAATGCTGCCGGTCAATGGCTCCTATAAAACCGCCTCCCCCGCCCGGCGCGGGTCAAGGAACTTTGGCTCTCGGGGAGCCACCGGCCAATGGGTGCGGTGCTCGGCTGGGGTCACTGGCCTCTGCATGTGCTGAGGCCCACCCGGCACAGGGGACCTGGTGCCCCAGTCCGCCGAGAGTCTCAGGCTGACCCAGGGGCCAGTGGGGGAGCCCTTCCCCACTCGTGCTGGCCTGGTGTCTGCTGAGTGGACGAGACCCCACGGCTCGGGGGGTGGGGGGCTTTCCTGGAGGCCCTGCCCTGCAGCTGACACAGTGCAGCCTGGGCCTATCCAGGGGACACTCAGGACTGTTTAGCTGGGAACTTGTCTGTCTTCTCTTGGGCTGAGGATCCCCGGCAGAGACCTTATCCACTGTGCTGGTCGGGCCCATGGGTCACCAGCCTGGGAGCTGGTAAAGCAGCATTTGGGCCAGAGCCGCCCTCCTGGATCTGAGGGCTGGGCTCTGAGAGGTGGGGAGGTTGACTGCGGACGTGAGGTATCAGCCTGGGGTGTGTCAGCAGGAGAGTCCAGGGCTGGACCCCACAGCCCCCTGTACCCCGACCTAGCTGAGCCAGTGATCTAGAGGAAAGAAATGTTTGTCCCTGCTACGTGCTTCCTGCCCCTGGCCTGGGCTAAGTGTGAAACCCATGAGCAGGGTAGCCTCGGGCCTCTGTGTAGTGCCCCCATTTCCCAGGGAAGGTGGCCCGGGCCTCGGGGACCTGCCGGAGGCCCACTGGTCAGGGGCAAAGTCATGAGGTATAGTCTAATGCAGTGCAGCTGGCATGCACAGGGGAGGCCGGGCCATTTGGGCAGCACCGTGAGGGACCGTGGTGGCCATCACAGTGCCTGGAAGCCCGACAGCCTTCATATATCGCCCTGGACAGGGGCTTGTTGGACACTCACTGCTGTAGAAGGGATGGCCCCTCCTGCTACCCAGTCAGCTGTGGAAGACATAATGAGGAGGGACTTCAGGGTGACCAGGAGGGGCATCCGTGCAGTGGCCTTGGACTGTGGACTCAAGGGCCCCACCTCTGGACCAGGTGCAATGGCTCCAGTGTACCAACCATGGGGCGGGGGCGGGGTGGCCCTCAGGCTGTTTTCCCCTCCCCCATCCCAGGACCTGCCCACCTCCTCTGGCCCCCACCTCCCCACCCCTGTGATCCTCTGGACCCTTCCCTCAACCTCTTGGATGTATTTTGCTCATTAGTTCATTCATTCATTCACTCATTCATTCATTCATTCCCTCACCCCTCATCTGTTTGCTCCCTCTGTGCCTGGGGTGCACCTGCAGGTCTTCCCTCAAGCAGCTCTGGCTCTGGAGGACTAACCCTGACCCTGTCCGACAAGGACCATGAGTCAGGAGCTGGCAGGTGCGTTGAGGTGAGGGGGCTCCAGGGAGCGGCATAGGTATGGCTGTGTGCCTGCGTTCTGTACGTGCCTGCGGAGTGAGCGCAGCAGGTGGGGTGTAGGAGGGTCCTGGGGTGGTGAGCAGCCCATGAGTGCCTCAGTGAGGAAGGGTAGGGGGCTTCAGCAGGGACCCCCGGGGTCACAGATGACCACAGGCCTAGGGAAGCCCCAGTGAATGCGGCTGATCTACCCATGTCGATGTCCTCTGTGGAAGCCCGGGCTTTGAGAGACCCCCGTGGGGGTACAGTCAGGGGGTCCCAGTGAGCTGAGGGCATGGGCCCTGCTGGGACATGGGTCAGGGGACAGAGTCCCTGCCAGGTCTCCAGGTAGAGGCTCCCTGCCACTGACTTGTCCACGGAGTCTGAACAGCTGCCTTCCCCAAGGCCAGGCGCCAGAGGTGAGTCTGGTCAGCAGATCCTGTCAGGGCCAGCCGCCCCAGCCCCGCCTGGTGGCCCTTGCCTGAGCAAGGCAGCAGCGTCCCTGTGTGCGGGGATACTCCAGGAATGAAAAGCAGAGCCCATATTGATTTCATTTCCAAATTATTAATCAACTTCACAGCTCAACAGAAATATTGTATTGTTCAGCTTGGGCAGGTCCAAATGGCTCTCCCTCAGGCGAAGAGCAGGAGGTCGGTGAAGGACGGCGGGTGATAAACGTCCCAGCCTCCGTAGAGGCCTACAGATGCCCACGGGAACTCAGAGCACCAGGCCCTGCCCGCCCTCAGCCCTCCTACCTGGCTAGGTGAGTGCTGGGTGGGGGGTGGGGGGGGTGGGATCCAGGTGCCTTGTGGGCAGGGGCACCGCTGATCTGACAGGGACCCAGGGTATGGGAACCAGCAGGGGACTTCTGTTGGCCCTTGGGAAACTGGGAGGGCCTTGGGGGCAGAGTGCCCAACCATGCAGTGCTTCTGGGTAGCAGGCCTGTCTCCAGCACCCTCACGGCCTCCTCTCCCAGCCCCCTGCCCCTTATACCAGGTGCAGGGGCCTCTCTGTTTACTTGTCCACCCGTCCGGGGCTGGCCCAGGTCCCCTGGCAGACTGGCTGCATCCAAGCCTACGGTGCTTGGAGGTTTGGAACCTTTCAAGGCAATGTGGGGGCCTTTATTGAGCACCTACTGTGTGCTGCTGTGGCTAGGGCCCTGCTGGAGTTTTGGTGGGTTCTGACCTCACATGGCCCAGGGGGCCCGGGACCCTGCCCCCAGGATCTCCCTGAGGAGGGGGCGGGGAACACGGGCACAGCTGCAGCACCACGTGGTTCAGGGTAGGATGAATTGGGGCAGCAGGGATCCTAGGATCTGGTTCTCAGTTGCAGGGAAGGTGTTAGGTGGCATCTGGTATGGAGGCTGGAGGGCATCAGGAGGACACTGGAGGCACTGGTCACCACCCCAACTGGGGAGTTAGTGGGGCTCGTTTTTAGTGGATGATGTTGTGGTTCGTTTGGGTCAAAGTCTCCTTAGCTTTTAGAAATACACCTTGAAGCACATGTAGGTGAAAGGGTGTGTGGAGAAGTCCCTTCCAGGCAGCCTGGGGTGGAGGTGGGCCAGGGACAGACCGGGTCCCAGCAGGCAGCATGTCCAGGGCACACGCACCTCTCTACCCCATGGTTGGTTAGTGTTTCTGTAACAGTGCAGGTCAGAACCTCACCCCCTGTGGGACAGCTGCTCCCCAAGGAGCAGACACCAGCAAGCCTTGGCGAGGACGTGGGGAAATGGACCCTGAGCACCGTTGGGGGGGGGGGCAGTGGGTAACAGGATGCAGCCACCATGGAAGACAGCATGGACAGTCCTCAAAAACGAAGCATAGGATGACCACACGGCCCAGCCATTTCACATCTGGGTATGTTCCCAGAATGGATGGCAGGGTCCCCATGGTTACGGCAGCATTAGGCACAGCAGCTGAGACATGGAAGCACCCATGTGTCCATGGACGGATGGATGGACAGATGGATGGAGGGACGGATGGGTGGATGGCTGGAGGGACTGATGGACAGATGGACAGATCGATAGATGGACGGATGGACAGATGGATAGATGGATAGATGGATGGAGGGACGGATGGACAAGTAGATGAACGGATAGATGCTTGGACAGATGGATGGATTGGTAGACAGATGGATGGACAGATAGATAAACAAAAGGGACACACAATACACACGATGGAGTGTTACTCAGCATTAAGCAGGAAGGAGACTGCCACCTGGATGAACCCCATGGACACTGCTCGGTGAGGTGAGCCAGCCACCCAGGGATGACACCGTGTGATCCCACTTCTCTGAGGCCCACGGAGGGGTCAGACCATAGAGAGGGCCAGTGGGTGGTGGGTGTCGGGGGTGGGGACGGGGGAGGGGTGGGGAGCTTGTGTTTCTTGGGGGCAGTTTGGGAAGATGAGAGAGTTCTGGGGGTGAAGGGTGGGGTGTCCACCATGAGCGTGCCTGATGCCATGGAACTTCCCGCTTAAAGACAGTTATAGTGGTAAAAAATATATATCCATTATATTTATTTATTTATTGATATTTATTTTATTTTTATTATAAAATATTAATTATATATTGCCACAATTAAAAAACTAATGTAATATATCCAAAGCCAATGGATTATGTATTCTAAATGGGTGAAGTACATGGTATGTGAATTCTGTCCGGGTGATGCTATGCTCTGGAGCATGAGTGTATGTGTCCACGTTAACCTGTGGACCAGCTTCTGTACCGGTGGCTCAGGTGAGGTGGGGCACACCCCTGGGAACCACTGTGCAGACCGAAGAGGCAGCAGGGAACAGGGCATCGGGGATTCTGGCTGAAGAGCCCACTGAGGGAGGAGGCCGGGAGCAGGAGCCCAAGTGGCTGCCGGACTCTTCAGGAAAGTGGCTCAAAGAGGAGGAAGCACTTCCTGTTGGGAATGAAAGGGGCAGAGATGATACAAAATGAAGACTGTGTATGGCCTCTGAACCTGGGCCGAAGCAAGATGAGAAACCCCTTAGTAACTAATGTGGGCTGCATTTTAAAAAACAGGGGGGCCCTCAAGAGGGCTGAGCAAGAGCCCGCGAGCTGTGGAGCCGGGGAGGAAGGCATGGGTCCCCTGCAGGCCGAGTGCCCGCTGTTTGCCTGCCACCCTCTTGTAAGGCAGGACTCCAGGGATGTCCCCTGAGGCCACCCTGAGGAGTGCTACCCATACCTGGACACACAGAGGTGAGGGACTGTGGGCCAGAGCCGTCATGACCTCTGGGGGTCTGGGGTGAGGGGGCATCCCCTTTGCACCCTGGGGGAGCCGTGACCACAGGGCGAACTTGTCACTTCCATTTGTAGATGGCTGCAAAGGTGCTTTCTGCCCCACAGGCTGTCCTCCTGTGGCCTGACCCCTGACCCTAGAGGTGGGGCTTTGGCAGCTGGGTGACCACTCCTCCTGGCTCTCTCAGGATGGGGTTCCTGGGACCCAGGCCGTGCGGGGGGTGGGGAGCCTGGCACCCTGTTGCAGCATTGGGAGCTGTGGCCAGCCCCACCTGAGGTCCCAGCCGCAGATGCTGGGGCAATACTGCAGGGGTTTGGCCCTGGCCTCGTGTCAGGTCCAGACGCTGAGCTTCTCCAGTCAAGGCTCAGACACTGGGGACAGAGAGCCAGGTGGTTCTTTTGGGTCTTGTCTGGGCTCCTGACCATGTCTGCGAGCTTTCTAAGTTGGCGGCATGTGCTACTTGGTGTGGGAGTGGCTTGTTTGCTGCAGTAGGATGATGGGACACCAGTGGGCTAGTGTAGACAGAGAGAGGACTGGAGGGAGCACGAGGCATTCGTGTCTACACATGTGGGGAGCAGAGGGCACAGAACTGGGCGCCCCTGAAGCTGAGGGGAGCGGGGTCGCTGTAGTGGCTAAGCTGGAGGGGGTGAGCCTCAGCTGCGGGGAGGCTGTAGGGGTGCTGGACGAGTTGGGGGCAGAGGCTGAGGGCTTGTAGACAGGAGGGGGGCACAGAGGCTGAGGGCCGTGTAGACAGGATGGGGGGGGCAGAGGCTGAAGGCTGTATAGACAGGATGGGGGTGGCAGATGCTGAGAGCCGAGTAGATGGGACAGGGTGGGGACGAGGTGTCTGGTGCAGGGCTGGAGGCTGGAGATTCTAGATCAGCCAGCTCTGTCTGGAGGGCAGGGGGCTGCCGGAGGGGCAGCCCCCATGGCAAGGGTCGCCAGGGGTGGACAGGGCCATGGTGAAGGGGGTCAGCTGCCAGTGTGTGACTCTCTGGGGGCATCAGGGGCTGCGGGTGTGTGCTGTGAGGATGGGCTCCAGGGCAAGGGCCCCGTGTGTGGGGTGCTCCCTGGCGTCTGGTGGGGATGTGCCGGTCTGGGGGTGCTACCTCTTTCCCTGCAAGCTATTGCCCCCCCAACCTGAGCTTATTCCATGCAGGGACCTCTTTCCTGAGCTCTGCAGGGACCCCTGTGTCCTCGTCTGCAAGGCCTCGGGGCCTCCTGCCCCAGAAACTCATGACAGTGTGGGGCCCAGTGCCTTCGTAGAACCCTGGGGCCAGGGCAGCCCGCCGACCCAGGTGCCCTCCTCCCCGGGGCCTGGGGCATAAGCAGAATTGAGCACCATCCTGGGTCTCCACAAGGCCTTTCTGGGGCTCCCACCCGCAGCCCAGTGTTTGGAGAGGCAGACACATGCCTATCCACATGCTTTAACCCCCTTGGGGGGGTTTGCTCACCTGTGCAGGGGGCGTCCTCAGCTCTCTGCTGGCCCGCAGGGTGCCCAATGTCTCCTGCCTGGGTGGGCAGCCAGGCTGGGGAAGGACCCTGCTGTCCACTGTCTGGCTGCTCCATGGGCTCTGCTTGGCACTGGGCATGGAGGGCGATTCGGTGGCAGACCCTGGCAGAGTGGGGCGTTCCTGGCAGGGCACAGAGGTGATGCTGTGCTGTGCTGGCTGCCGCAGACTCTGGGGTGGACCTCACTGCCCACGTTTCACAGCAGCAGCCATTGCCCTGGGGCCTCCCTCTCCCTGGGGAGCCCAGTTCGTGACATGCCTTCTTCCTCTTTAAATTTGATTTAATCCTTTCTTCTGACAAGTGGCCAGAAGTGCCCACCAAGCCCTATGTGGAAATGCCCAAGCCCATAGGACGCCAGCCTCGTGGGCCCCGTGGGTGGACCACAGGGCTGGGGAAGTGGCCGCCTGGCAGCCTGAATGTTATGGCTCTGTGGGCCAGGCCCTACTACTGCTGCTGTGTGTGTGGGTCCTGCCTTCAGGACTCCCACAGCCAGACCTGGGGCCCAAGTTGGGGTAGGTGGGGGCCCTCCAGGTGGCTGCACTGCCCTCAGGGAGTGGAGGTACACGTGGGGGAGCTCTGAGGGTCTTGGGCTGAAGGACAGAGTAGGAACATGCACACCCTGCAGCCCCAGCCATGTGGCCAGCGGCCATGGAACCAGGAATGGTGGGCGATGGGAAGCCGCTCATGCAGGCCCGGGCTCTGGGGGTCTTGGGAAGCTGGCTGGCAGCTCTCAGGTTTATGCAGTCCCTGGGCTGTAGCCATTGCCCAGGGGAGGTCTTCCCTCGGCCGTGTGCTCAGGGGCTCCACTGGGGAGGCCAGTCCCTGCAGAGGACACGAGGGCCACTGGTGGGACCTGGCCCTGTGGGACAAGGTGGACAGGTGCTCACCTGGGTTGGCCCATCTCTGGGTATAGCAACCTGGATGGAGGGCCTGGGGGCTGCGAGTTTTGGAGACTCCACGGGAGGGGTGTGGGATGACCTCAGGGCATCCAAAGGCTCTGGTGGGGT